CTTGCGTCAGTGATTTACATCCTCCCAATAGACAGATTCCTTGTGCGCAGCGGTATTTGACCATGCGTCAGTGATTTACATCCTCCCAAATGTTATGTGAGACTGGGACGTGGGGGCCCTTGAGGTTGAGGATCAACCTTTTGGGAGAAGATGCGCATTGAGTAAACATTGCTCTTGTATAATGATCTACAAACTACATAGGAGATATAAGTCACACTAGGAAGCCATTGTGCGACAAACTTGACCAAGAGAGTATTGACAAGAATCGAACTTGTGACCTTCAAACCATTTTCTTATATGTAAGATCAGATTTTAATACAACATTCTATTTAAGAAATTAGTACGTTTTTAACTAGCTAGATTCAAGTAACTCGGTTCTTCTGATAGTTTACATGTACTATTTGATTTGTAGGAAATTTTTACGGTACAGAACGGTATCTATTACAACTGTGTAAATATATATGCATATATTGATACTCATACAAACAATACCTAGTACAACTAGACAATACCTATATATAATTTGTATCAGGTACAATTCAACACCCATGCATATTAGCACCATAGAGAAAATCTAGATTTATATTCTTTAAAGTATAAAGTATAAATTAAAAAGAATTGACTAAAATATTCCTAACTTTGAAATTTAACTTTAACCATTAGGTCAATAATCATTAGGTATATATAATGTTTGTAATAGTTATATCAATTGTTTAAGGGATGCGGCTGTTCAATATTGGTTTGCTTGGGTTTCAATAAATTATTATTACTCAAATAATTTAAAGGGATCAAGGAATATGAATTAGGTTGCTAGTCACCCATTGAATAATGATTTGGCATTTTTTGTTATATCACATGTTATCTAAAAATGTGAAGATGTAAATATATAAATTAGAAATAGACTAGAAATTATTCTCGCAAATCACATGCCACTTAAAGAAATCTCATATTTTTGTAAACCAAATAACATTGTATGACACTTCAATGTAAATATATAAATTAGAAATAGACTAGAAATTATTCTCGCAAATCACATGCCACTTAAAGAAATCTCATATTTTTGTAAACCAAATAACATTGTATGACACTTCAATGTAAATATATAAATTAGAAATAGACTAGAAATTATTCTCGCAAATCACATGCCACTTAAAGAAATCTCATATTTTTGTAAACCAAATAACATTATGACACTTCAATATTCATTTGATTCGTCACTACTTAAATATACATTATAGATAAAATTTCTATTATGACCTAGTCAATAAATGACCATAAAAAAAAATAAATCATTTTATAAAACTCCAATATTCATGTCACCAAAATTTATGTGATCTAGCTTGTACGGACTTGTTGGTGAAAATACACGAAAAAAAATAATAATTCTACGAAAAATGATTATTATTTTTTCTAGGAAAAAACTGGAAAAATTATGGAAAAGAATATTGTTGAGAGGTGGTTAGCACGAGCCGAGCGAATCACTCTTTCCTTAAAACCTTATTTGCTACCTCCCAGTAGTGCTAGGAGCATTGTAGCTTAAGTTACCCGGATAAAACGTACTACGGTTCAATGTTTAAGCACCCAAACAAAGGAACCCAGCGAGCGAACAAGAACAAGGAATGAACCACAATTGACTAAGAAAGGAGTAGAAACAGAGTTTCGAGAGAGAAAACACTTTGATTCGTTGTGTGTAAAATCTACTACTCAAACAACAACTTGGAGTTGAGGATTAAATAGCATTTAAAACTGATCAGTCTTGTAACCCCTATAGGCCAGTACCTGATTTTAAATTCGTAATTCAAAATTGGAATTAATTCAAAATTAATTCCATAATTGCTGAATCAATTTCTCATTTATCCATTATCCGTTTTGAGCTTACAATATATCAATCTCTTCATCTCACTACGAAGAACCTGAATCCACTTTGAACCGACCCAAATCGGAAGTGGAGCCCACTAATATTTGTAGCACAAAATAACCACATAAAATGTCATTTTATGCTATTTTTTCCAACAGGACTTACCTAACTGGTTCAGTATGCAGTATTTGGGGCAATATACCAAGGTTCGGAATTTGGCGGCGGCAGTGTGGATTATGCCCAAAGTGAACAGATCTATTGTGCGCATCGATATTGTGACTATATCCATTGAGCCACTGAGTTACCGTGATTTACAACCTTCAAAATGCTTTATTGGGTCGAGATGTGGGCCGTGGGGGCTTTTAGGTCGGGGATCAATCCTTACATCATGAACCAAGGTTCATAATGCACTATGGACCCTGGTGCATGCGTATGTATCTTATGTTATGATTTTTTGTATCTTGTGTTATGAAATTATATACCTTAAACAAATTATTAATTGTGTCTTGTGTTGTGAAATTATGTGCCTATGAACACAAAGTATGTACCTAAATTAGATTTGAAAAATAAGTAAATATATAACATGTGTATGTGTCTTGTGTTGTGATTTTTTGTGTCTTTGTGTTATGAAATTATGTACCTTACCAGTATGAATGTTGTACCTCGTCATTTCGATTCATGATCCATAATGCTATGTAGATCTGGTCCATGATATAAATTGGCGTTGGCGTAAGAGTTAACTAAACCTCCCCTAATTAATATAGTAATGTTATTTAATTAATAACAACACTTGAATCCGCGAAGTACCAGTGTGATTGCATCTTGATTACCATTTCAAATGGGTGATTATGGATTCGAACTCCGGTGGTGGGGGCTTAAATTTTTTGTGCTGAAAATGTTTGAAAAAAATAGAATAAATATCATTTTGTAAAGAATTATGAGTATTTAAAAAAAACACTCGAATTCAAATTTTTATTTTTATAAAAAATCAAATTCTTTTCTCTTGGTCAATAAATAAATGGTTTAAAAATTTATATATGTGTATATATAGTAAGATTTACCGTGTCAATTGAAACTAGCACCTCTTATACGGGCTGCAATCCAAAAAATTTTGAAGGAATTTTTAGATTTATATCAAGTACTATTAAAACAATATTCCCACAATATCTGATACAAACCCAAAGTATTTCTCTTTTACTTTTAAATTTTTTTGTCTACAATGAGCAAGAAAATGACACTTTTGTTTATATATATATATATATATATATATATATATATATATATATATATATATAATCAGTGTGATGAAAGCAAGAATACATAGAGAAAACATAAAATGGCATAGGAGAGACGTGGCAATCATGAATTGATTTGATAATGACATATTATTGTCTTCTAATTATGTCAGTAATAATGAAATTTTGGATGCTTGGATTTAGAAGGCCAATGCCAATGAATGCATCGCCATACAACACAATGTTCAATCGCTTTCGCCACAAAATTTAAAAATAAAATTTTAAAAATATTGATGTTATTGACATGTAAAAAATCGACAATGAAACTAAATAATTAGGATTGGTCACCGGATTGGAGCCATAAAGTCTCAAATCAAATTAATTTTTAAAAAATCACAATGAAAAAGTTAGAAGCTTGATTGTTTTGGTTTTTTTTTCTAAACATGGTGTGTCATGGAGTCTATTTAGTGAGTTATAGCTTTGGGTATTAATTTTGGTATTAATTAATTCTTCCAAAAGGCTGAACCTCAACCCGACAGAGCATTATCATGGTAACTCAACTGAACATGAATCATAGAGGCTAGACCTGTGCTCACTGCGCAAAAGGAACTCCCCTCACTTTGAGAGGTTGCTCCCACACTGTCGCTGGTGAGACTCAATCTTTGGACATTCTTCCAAAGTTTCACCTTTGTGCCGCTTTAGGTATTAATTAATTGATTTTACAGATGCTTTGGACTATTTTTGTAATTAAAAAGTTTAAGAAGTGTTCTAATATTTTTGGAGTAGTTATATACTTATATATATTCATACTTTTTTTTTTGGAACACTATTGACTCTATTACAAGTAATATCTATTCTATATTTTCTCTAACTATTACAGCATAAAGAGTGATTCTCCATCACCGGGGTAAGATCCTGTGACCTTTTTTCAAGGAGAGCCACAAAGGTACCATCTAATCACAAGAGTTTTGGCACACTATATAGAGATAGTGAATTATATGTTTTATTATTAACCCAAATACAAATTAGGCACAAGGAAACATCAAACATACGAGACCGAGAGATCCAATAGCTCTAGTTTGGTAGATGGGTGTATTAGACAACTACAACAACGTATGTCTAAAGTTGAGATTTTGCAGGTATGTCTAAAAATGAGCTATTAATAGAAATATAAATCAATTAAATTATTACCCTGAACACAAAATGACACTGGGGGTGCTGTAAGAGGGAAATCATTAAGACCACTCACGAAAAGCAAATGCCTTTTTCCTTTGTTTTTTTATTTTTATTTTTTTGGATATGGAAATTGACAAATCAATGTCTGCTGCCAGTTCATCGCTCTCACTTTATTAAACAGCCGAGCCTATGCCGGAGAGCCATTATTTGAAAAGCAGTGTACCATGATTAAAAAACAAAGGTACTGACTACTGAATAAGCACTCACTATTTCTACAAGAAAGCAAATAAATTATGAACATGAGTTAAAAGGAAAGTCACATCCCACATATAACTCTCAAAAATAGCAGCTCCAACATACATTGTTGATGTATTTTGGCACATTGAATGAACCTTAATAAACTCGAAATCAAATCAGTCATGCAGTTATAACAGTATTATAATAATGTGAGAAACAGGACTGTTTAAGAACGGGGAATAAATACAAAAGACAATTTAATACAATTTGAAGATATGATTCTCATACCTGGATTTGTGTTTTCAACTCTTGCCAACATCCTTCCTATGCAATTTACCTCGTCAATGTGGTTACATCCTCATCACACAAAAAAGAATCTGAGAACCTTTCATTGTATGAAAGACTTCAAATGGATGAAGATACAACTTGGTTATACATTTCAGAAAGGCAAAAGGCTGCTTTAGATTTATTTCAAGGATAAAAAGAATACAGAATTAGTTCAGTAAATGAGAACAGATATTCCATATTTCATGGGTTACTAGACCCAACAACATAATTTCAAATGGAGAGAAAATAGAATGTATTGATGGAAGTTCATAATCTCCAAAGTAACATAATAGTAGAAGTTGACATAAAAGCTGATTAAACACCACTGGAATACTACCAGAACTGTAAAAATACTAACACAAACAAGGTGTAACAAAATTTTCAATCTAGCATCAGCCTTAGGCAAAAGAACAACATTATGTTTAGATGATTCCAATCTTGTTTGCAACATCCAATGCATCAAAGTCTGGAGTCAACCGGACGTATGCCTTCTTGGTACCATCAGGCCTAGAATAAACAAAATGAGATTAAATAGTTAGTTAGTTATTCAATGCAAAAAAATAAATAAATAATCCAAGGACAAAAATTGAGTGAAAAGTACAATCATAGAAAATCCATGGATATAAATTTATACCACCATGTAATTTCCTGCATCTTAGCAGATAACAAGGGTTCTAGATGATCCTATTGTGAGTGTCACATGTATTTAGCTATTTATCAAGAATAAGTGTCATTCAATTAAGCCTACTGCATTGGTGCATGAAACACAAACACCAAAACAACCAAAAGAAGCATCAGTATAAACAACTATAACAGCCATTACCTGATCAAAGTGTTGACCTTCTTCGTCTGAATGTCATACATTTTCTTAACAGCATCCTTAATTTTCTTTTTGTCAGCACGGATGTCAACAATGAAAACCAGGGTGTTGTTATCCTCAATCTTTTTCATTGCAGACTCAGTGGTCAAGGGATATTTAAGGATTTGGTAATGGTCCAACTTGTTCCTTGGTGGAGCACTGATACGGGGGTACTTGGGGTTCCTCTCCTTCTTCAATGTCCTGGGCCTGTGGAAGGTAACTTTGGTGCGGATCTTCTTCGCCTTCTTCTTGAAGGTAGTACCTTTCACAGCCTTGGCAACCTTTGCGGCCTGAGCCTTTGGGTCAGCCTTTTTAGTACTATCACCTGTTACAAAAATGGAAAACATAATTCAATAATTCAGTTCAATTCATAGAGCAAGTCAAGCAGCACCCTAATCCATAAATTTGACAAAGAATGACATTAATGCTCTCTACAACCTCAAGTTTACAAAAACACACGCATACAGTCACAAATACCACTTCTTAAATTAGCATCTTATAAAGACATAAAGTTCAATACAAATACTCAACAATAGCATGAATGCATTGCATATTTTGATAGCTTTCCAAAATAAAATAAACAATTCAATTTTTTAAGGTAAAATGACAAATACTATCATCGAAAGCCTTATACACTACACTCACTACCCGATGCTCTAAGCATATAAGTCACATGTAAAATGAGGTTTAAACAGCTCATAGTATTGTTAGTAGAACACAATGCAGAAACAGCAGCAGAAGAAAATTACTGAATCTTAAGATATATAGCGTATATACATAAACAGGTGCACGCATACATAACAGATATCATCAGTAAAGCAACTCGAGTAGTAAATTCCAATCAAAAGCTGCAAAGACAAATTCAATCGAGCAACATACCTTTCGGAGCCATTGGAGTTGCTTCAAATACACCTACCTAATGAATCAAAAAAGATGAAGATAATCAATTCTCAGCAGAAAACATAAACAATGTTCGTTAAGCGAAGATCTATGCTCATACACATTCAAAAACAGATACACATGCATATGAATATGGATAGTGGTGCTATGAGCGTCAGAATGGGAGAACAGCAGGGTGGGCATGGAGGGAAAGAAAGAACAAACCTGGCGGAAGACGAGCTGAACAGGTTGCTGAAGATGAAGAGTAGGGTTTTGGGATGTATATATGTACCCAGTTGTGGGCGTGAGGTATAAAATGGGCTGAAGCTTGGTATGGGCCGATACTTGTGAAGTTAATTTTTAGTATGGGCCGAGACTTGTGAAGTTAATTTTTAGTATGGGCCGATAAAAAGTCTGCGTCGAAGAAAAGAAACACTACTGGCGTATGACATTATTATTTTTCAATTATTATACCATGAATCAGGGATCATATTGCATTGTGAACTCTATACAAAAAATTTGTACCGTCACATAACACATTTTGTACTTATAGTTAACACTTTATGTACATGTAAACAAATAACGTGATAATTACTGACACATAATATGATAGCTACGAGTACAGAAACTATCAATTGCATGTACAGAATGTATCAACTATAGATATAGAATCTGAAGGTTATTTTTGAACCAGGATCTACAATGCAAGGTAGTTGGTCCATGATATTTTTTTATTTTTGGCCAGATCACAGGAGGTAGTTGGTCCATGATATTTTTTATTTTTGGCTAGATCACAGGTTTGTTGGCTACACCAAAACCGGATAAGATCTCAAAGGATGATAAAACACTTTCTCATATAATTTAAATAATTGTATTTTCAAACCTTTAGTTAAACTAGAAGAGGTCAAAGCACTCCATTGGCACAGGTTAGATTAGTCATTTGCCCTCATAGTTATTTGTCGACTAAAATCACAACACAAAATTTACCCGAACCCTCATCACTCAAAATTAAAAAAGAATTAGGTTAGATTATAGATGGTAGAATGGCCATGAATTCTTTGACTCTCCGGGTGGTATTTATAGACTATTGGCTACAAATTCTGTTGGGATTATCTGACCTCATTGTTTCTAATTTTAAAGTTCTTCGTCAATTCCCCGTGGTCTAAAAATGTTTGTTCATTAATTACCATTTCCTAGGAGGAGGGACATTTGGTCATAAACTGAAGACGAATCATCACCTTTCAAGCCAAGATGTTTCATGAGCATGAGATGGAACAAAGCAAAAAACTATAGGAGCTGAGTCTGTGATTTTGGAATTAAGCATGGGCATAGAAAAATGTACAATTATAGTCAAGAATGGAAATTGCAATGAACGAACGATGCTATCTTGCCTACGAACCTTCTAAGTGTCTTTCAAAAATCTATGTATTTCTAGGTCATGAAAATTGTACATCCAGATTTGAGTCAGCAGCAGGGCAGATGCCTCGGGTCGCAGCACTGTACATCCAGGTAAACCACCTCTGACTGACAACATTAAAAGCAGCTCCTGAAAATTGTGAAGTTATTGAATCATACAGAAGTAAAATTGCCAAGTCTAAAGAAGAAACAGCATTTAATCGTTTAGAGATGCAGTGTTGGCATTGTGAGTAACACCATATCTAAGCCAGTAAGATGTACAATTAAAAATGTGAACCACAATGAATATGCCTGGAGTGTGTGATTTCAAACTATATGCATGAGCTCTTTCTCAGAAATAATAAAAGACGATTTAGAAGATTGGAATAAGTATTTGTTATATTCACTATAATTGGGAAAAGGGTCAAATAGGCCCTCAAACTTTAGCTTAAAAGTCAATTAGGTCAATTAGGCCCCTAAACTTTTTAAAGGTGCAATTACACCCATCAACAATTCATTTAAGTGCAATGAAGCCCCAAAACAAATTAATGACCTGCTATCACAGGTCATTAGGTTCAGGCCACCTTCCGGCAAAAAAAAAAAAAAGTGATCAGCGAAATTTTCGACAAAAGAAGTGACCGGCGAAATTTTCGGCAAATCTGGGTCGGTTGCTGGTCACCTTTTTTTTGTCGGAAAATTCGCCGGAAGGTGGCCTGAACTCTAATGACCTGTGATAGCAGGTCATTAACTTGTTTTTGGGCTTCATTGCACCTAAATGAATTGTTGATGGGTGTAATTGAACCTTTAAAAAGTTTAGGGACCTAATTGACTTTTAAGCTAAAGTTCGAGGGCCTATTTGACCCTTTTCCCACTATAATTTAAGGCCATCAAATATTTACCTTCCAGTATTCTCTAATGTCATTCAGATGGCAGACGTGCATCGTGGAATGTGGATACTCAAAAAGTTTGAAAGAGAAGTTATCTAATGAAATTACTGCATGCCTCTTATCCACATACCATGTTACTATCACTTGGAACTCAACAATGCCAGGAACTCCTCTGGTTCTTCATTTTCTTTGACAATCTACATCATAAGTTTCATTCAGGTTAATACAGATTAAATACAAACTGAGAAGAGACCAAGCAGCAGATAACACCTATAGTGCAAAGCCATATCCAGAGACAGTCAATAAGCGAATTCGAAACAAAAATAGGTATATGTGTGCGCTCATTAGGAGGATTCATTCCACATCAGAAAAGATGGTAAGGAACCAATATCCAAGCAGAATGCACTAGTAACCAATACATATATAAAATGCATGAACTGATTGAAAATGGGAGAAAACCTAAAGTTCGTGCTTTTTTTTTTTTTGATAATTTTATAGGTATGCAAAATGGCATGAAGGAGGTGGTTTCTCCAGCCCCAGCACCTGCATGTTGAGGCTGCTAGCAGAGTCTCAGAGGTTACTAGCCAAGCCCAATGAGGAATACAGACAAGTCCATGCTACACAGGCCTAACTGTAGCAACTCATGAAACACAAGTGCTAGAGCCTAGAGGATCCCCTTAAGGGGGATGCTACCGTCACAGAATGGTTAGCTTTAAGGGAGACTCAAACCTGTGGTCAAGGAGTCACAAGATCTTATTTGGGTCCCACACCATCTTATTTGGAATGGTTTGGCAAGGACATGAAATCGGTCCACAAGTACAATAAAAAAGGAATTTGATATAAGAGGGGAGTAATGATACATGCTTGGGACCATGATTTTTAGGAAGTCTTATTTTATTATATTACATAGTTTAGATATTAATAAATTACTAAATAGTTATTTAGAAATTACTAAATAGTTATTTAACTTATTATTCTTAGTCTTCGAATTAATTTAGGTAGTTTAATTATTTAGAAGTAAATTGGAAGATTTAAGCAGATTACTTAGCTTATTTAGCCATTCTATGAGTTGTATTTTACCCTATAAAAAGGGGGTATTATTCAGAATAATGGCAAGCAGAAATTGAATCCCAAAAATGGTCTAAGGGAGTTTTGGGTCTCAAGCAAACCCAGTGTTTTCTTCTTTTCCTTTTCCGCTGTTATTCTTTGTTCAATTTTCCTTATGTTTTCATGCCCGTGACTGGAGAGCATAACAGAATTTGCAGTGTATTTAAAAATACAAATTAGCAGGTTTCTTCCAAACACTCCATAGGTCAAATGCATATCACTCTATTTCCATGAATGCATCCAATAATGACATTTGCAAACAGTTAAGAAAGCAGAATCAGAGCATGAGAATGTGGAAAACTGTTATACCTTGATGTTAGTATCCAGTGGCAGTCCCATCTGGCGAAGAGTATCAGAAGAAGCTTTTCCCCAGTCAATGTCTTCTGAGCCGCTTAGGCTTTGGCAGTACCCCGAGAAAATCTTACTTGACTTACAGCTGAAAGATCTTCCTACCCAAAAATATAGAATCCTACCCTCAACATTCTTAAACTCTGGGCTAGGAATAACAAAAATATATACAGAATCCGAATCCAAATCATCAGGAGTCAACTGTGAAATCTTTTCCAAGTTGGGCCACTTAAATACCAGAGGTTGCATAAGGTTACAGGGATGACCATCCACCAGTCCATTTAGGACAACTACCTCCTTTTCTCCAGAAGAATGGTTTTCCCATACATTACAGGTGCTGGGTAAAACATCTTCAAACAGTGAATCAGTATTGACTACATTACCTGAAATCCTAAATGAGTCATTTTCACTACTTGCATTTGCCTCTCTATGAGGCTCCAAAATGTTTTCCATCTGAAGTGACTCATTTCCTAAACTGGACCCATATGTCACACCAATGCCATCTTGTTTGTTGAAAAGAAAACTCGAAAGGGTATTTTTTCCCTGAGAGTCGTCCAACACTGGAAGCTTCAAACACTTTGACAAGCTGCCTCTCCGCTCAGCAATAGAGAGGGGAAACTTTCTAGATGATGTAGAAGCTGATTGTGAAGAACGTGAAGTGAAGTTAACGTCAATATACTTCGAAGTTTTAGATATTGACTGTGGAGAAATCTTGGATGGAAGAAGGGATATATTAGAGAAGCTAGATAGAGTTGAAGATGTTACATCTGCACAAGACGCAGCTGAAGGAGATACAGCAGGGGAATCTGAGCATCGTGAAGAATTAATGCTTGAATCAGAAGAGAATGAGTCAGGAGAAAGATAAGGTGGTGATGATGACGATGAAGAGGAGGAAGATGAAGAGGATGAGGACGATGAAAAGGATACTGATGAAGGTGATGATGTAGAAGTTGATGATGATGATGAAAACAAAGGAGAGTGCAGCTGTTTAGATGAAGAATGATCAACCACTATAAACATCGAATCAGGGTAGACTCTCAAGGGACCTTGTTTTGAAGCAGAGACAAAATCCTTCATGTTCCCAGAAACAAACTTACGCCGTAGCACACTCCAAGAGCTTTCCCTCGCAGGTAGGTGGGTTTCATGTTCAGCCTCTGATGAGGCAAAAGGAGGTACAAAACCCCCAACAATTGCCTTTTCAAAAATTTCAAAGTCAATGTTATATGCATTCACTATCCGCTGTCCAGGACAAATTTTTATTGATGCTTCAACAACATCAACCCCCTTGTTTGATTTATCCATTAATGGCAGCAAATTGGAAAAAGCATCCCAGAAATAAGGAGGTTCCTCACCCTCAGAAATCACTACTATTGGGCCCTGCACTTTCTCATAACGAGCAATCTGACAAACAGCTCCTCTGGCATCCCTTTCCATGATAGCTTCACATTTCTTACCAATCCAAACATATATTGCAGAAGTTATATGTACTATAAATGCACCTCTAGAATCCAAAGCAGATGGAGACGGATCATTTAACATTTTTGGGACAAGATGCAAAGGATCATATGGTGAATGTGGTGCAATTCTATACATCCTTAGTAAAGAACTTGGGCTCAAAGGAAAAGCATGTACCCTTTTCTGGCACTGCAACAACTGGCATGCAAAACCCATATTTGGATCAGCAATCCCCCTGGCTGCCTTCACATACTGAAAGGCATCATCAAAACTTTGTCCTTCTCTCCACATTAGATAAGCAATTACCAAAGAAGTGGACCGAGAAACCCCTTGGCAACAATGAACAAAAACTCTACCACTTTGTTCTCTAACATCCTCAAAGTAGTCAAAAACATCATAGAGTATGCTAGTAATATCCTCTGATGGGCTATCTTGCAACCACAGGGTCCGGTAAGCAAAATCAGCCTTGAAATACTCAGGGCATACAAATCCCACACAGTTAAGAATATGGGTGATCCCATTCTGCTTAAGAATATCCCTATCCTTGGCAACTGCATCCCCACCAAGATAGATGTGCTCAGCCACCTTTGAACACTCCTTATCAAAGAAAGCGATTTTTTCTCTTTTAACAAGACCTCCATTCCTCTCTGGGTTCTTCTGTATGTTCGACAAATCAAGCTTGAGTCTCTCACCATTGGTGTTTGCATCCCTCGCACTAGGAGTACTAGGAAGTGGCCACTCTCCAATATCATCAGACCCTGCTCTCGGCCACTCGTCTAGACTCCTCCGAGCAATTGCCAATGGTGGCAGACATGACCTTGCCTTAAAACTCTGTTGTGATCTAGGGGTTAATGGCCTCCGACCCTGTCCATTACTACTGCCATTTGGATCTAAACCTTCTTTGTCACTATCTGGGTTTAGTGGGGGCAATGAAGTCCTGGAAGAGGACCAGGAAGCCGACCGCCAATACATTCTCCGACCACTTGGATGTTGGAAAGCCCCCCTCAAACCACCACCCCCACCATCGCCGTCACCCCCAGCACAGGAGGTATCCTCTTTACCCAGCATTCCAACTACCAAATATGCACTGCAATATCCAACACCAAACTTCCAACCACAATCCCCCAACTTGTTAACTTTCTAGTATCACTTTCTAGTATCAACGTTCACATACAAGTAATACAACACAACTAATAGCAAAACTAAAACTCAGATGCCCCCTTATGTCGGAGCAGAACCAGGTGAAGCAAGTATGCCTACTTTCACTCCAACATTCACCTGCAAAATAACCAATCAAACAAACAAACAACCAAAAATTACCAAACATACCAAAACCAATCGCAAACATTCGGAGAAATTTTAGCTACCGCACATCTCTGATTTGGTACAATCACCAAAACCTAGCTAGAGCACAGTGTAGATCCCACACTAGAACACACGGAAAAAGGAAAAATCGGGAGAAATGCTCGAGATTTATACTTTTCCATGAATTCCGGCAAAGTCAAGCATCACTGGCCGTGCGGCCTCTATTCCGGAGCATATACACACATGCACTCAAACATTCAAAATACAGGGAGAGAAAGTGAGGAAGAAATTCTCAGATTCGTTACTTACAGAATCGAAAGTGATGGCAGCATGCGAGCTAGTGAAGAGTGATGCGCAGCGCGGAGAAGCGGAAGATGAGAAGCGGAACGCTGAATAGTAACTGAAGAAGAAAATGCGACTGAGTGAAATGCAGAGAGAGAGAGAGATTGGGGCGAGGTGTGAATGCTTTCTAGCTTTATTTTTATTTTGGGGTGGAAAATGGAAATACAGTATTAATTCTGTACCGGAGCGGAAAAATATGAGGGTCTTCCTCGGCACAAGTCATGTGAATGCTGCTTTTTTTCAATAAAGCTGGGCTTCCCCCTCCCCCTCTTGGCTCTTGCCTCTCAACTCTTAACTTCTCTCCTACCTTATCAAAAATTGTCTTGACAATTAATTTGATAATTACAATGTAAATACCTTGTGCTGAGATGATATGTAATAATTCTTCCATATACTTGACTATCAAAATCTTTTCAATATTGGTCCTTCCGTCAACGTTGAGTATCTTCTTCCTCTTCGTTCCCCTCTCTATATGATTTTCCAATTTGTACAACACCCACGAATGCAAATCGAGTTTGTCGTCGAAGACTCTAACCTTAATTCATATCTTCTCATCAGCTCCGACCAGGTAAGCTTGATGGTATTTAATAATAAGCTTCCAGACCGGATTTGTGGGATGAACTATGTACCGTCCCAAGAAATTGAACATGAATTCTTTGTCAAGAAACATATTCCCAACATCTTTCTTAAATGATTGCATCGGGAAAAGATATGGGATGAAAAACTAGTATGATTTCATACTCATGCATGATATTTTCTGCATAAACTTTTGATCTTCGTCTTTGAAGTATAGTTCATCGTAATGATCCATGTTGTACTTCATATTGAGAAAGATAAATGGCAGTATTTTCGACTCACTGGACTTGTCAATCAAATTGTTATTCACCATATTCTCGTAACAGTACCCGGAGTTCTAATCAAATCCATTGAAGTAACCAATAACCGAAAAATCTTCTGGTATAAACTAGGAAGTTCCAGCGAAACTACGGCGGCATGCAACAACAAAATAAAGAGATTCACGCGGGGGAATGGAAAATGAATAAAATAAAGGTTTATAGTACAAAAAACAAGGTGTATTCAGTTACTACCTTTTAGTCGTATGGGTTGGTCGCTTTCGGCTTCCGGCGTTGGAAACCACTGCCGGGAAGCCATTAAAGAGCTGCGAATCTTTAAGAAGCATGGAGACTAAAACCAGAGCCGTCAGGTTCACCAATAAAGCAACAATAATCAACAGCGGTAGCTCTCAACTGAATTAGGTGTCTTAATTGAGTTATATTGATTGTGAGATTAGGGTTTCAGGTTTAGCGAATTTGGGGATTTTGATATATGTCAAGTATATAGATGGAAACAAAGAGAAAGAAGATACTCAACAAATAAAATGACGATTTTGGTCGCTTCTGGGTTCGGGCGTTAGAAACCACTGTCGGGAAGCCATTAAAGAGCTGCGAATCTTTCAGAAACATAGAGACTAAAACCAAAGTCGTCAGGTTCACCAATAAAGCAACAAGAATCAACAGCGGTAGCTCTCAACTGAATTATGTGTCTTGATTGAGTTATATTGATTGGGAGATTAGGGTTTCAGGTTTAGCGAATTTGGGGATTTTGATATATGTCAAGTATATAGATGGAAACAAAGAGGAAGAAGATACTCAACAAATAAAATGACGATTTTACCCTTTACTTTGACGTCCAAATAATGACCAGGTGGCGAAAGTACCAATATTGGAAAGATTTTGACAGTCAGGTGTCAAATTTGTCAAAATTAAAAGACGATAACAAAATGTGAAAAATCAATATAGTCAAACGACCTCTGCTGGAATTAATTTTTTTTTTTAATTTAAATTGATCAATTATGAACAATTTAAAATAGTTTACCTCCTTACTGTCCTTTACCGGTTTGAAACATAAAGCATACTTCACCCAATGCACACCTTTTAATACGGTTGCGGACTTTCCCCATAAATCAAAATTAATATCCAAAAATGATTCTTTAACTATTTCATAATTTTTAAATTAATCAACAACTATCAATTTATCCAAAATTTGTTACTAAATTATGTAAAATTTTACTTGTTTTTACTCCTATGTTACTTACATTGATGTATAAATTGAGTAGACTTTTACATAGTTTGTACGTCCTCACATAAAGCCTAGCCTTATTATAGTTTTATAATAATAGGGTTTAATCTCATCCATTTATCCAGTCCAGATCAAGGATCCATAATGAAGATAAATATCAAACACGTTGTGACATTATGTTAATTTTGTGCAAACACGTTACTTTTTGTTATCTTTTGATGCATTTTTTTTTCCTTATTCCATTATTGATAGTCTATGAGTTGTGATCGTTTATGATTTATGTTGAAGATCTTGTAATGAAGTTAGTATTTTCAATAATTGGTTCTCATCTTTGTGCCTTCCTAGTGCACATTGTTATGCATTACAATGCACATTGTTGTGCCTTCCAGTGCATAATTTTAAAGATCATATGTGTCATTTTTTTTAAAGAGCAGTTGATCTTGAATGAATCAATTGATGAGATTTAATTTGGCCCTGTTTGGTAAAATAGCTGTTAGCTGATAGCTGTTAGTTATTAGCTGATTGTGTTAATTAGGGGGTATAAATAGGTGATAATATTACCTGATTGTAGAAAAGTGTTTGGTAAATTAGCTGTTAGCTTATAGCTGTTTGGTATAATTTCTTTTCTCAAAAAGCTAATTGAAAAAGTTGCTTGGAGTAGCTTTTTAAATTTTAGCCTTTTGGAGTTGCAAAAAGCTAATTAACCAAACATTTATTTTGATATTTTAACTAAATCAAACAATTAATAATGGTCAAATAAGCCAAAATTAGCCTATAGGCCAATTTTTTACCAAACAGTGCCTTTATCTGTGTTTTTCACATGGGAACCCTTCACACATGATCCTAAGCGTGCGCGCGCGCACACACACATTAATTAAAAATTAAATGACCTCAACCGTAATTTTAACAAAATTAAATTGTCACTTGTAATTGTAAAAACATGATCATAAGAGTCAAAATTGTTATAAATGTATTTAATGAACATTTATTTGTAACGGACATAACGGATGATTTTATGGCTCATTATGTTTATTTATGTCCTTTTGTATTAGTTATATATAGAAGTGTATTTTATGTATATCAGACAGCAGATGATGAATAAAACAATGATTCTCCCTTATCTATCTATTCTGTTTTTCCTTTTAACAAAAATAAGATTTGTAACTTCTAATTGTAATAATATGAACAAGTAGTCGAATTAAGATTTGTAACTCCTTTTATATCTTTTATTTTATTTTTGTGTATTTATATATTTTGTTAAATACTTCTACATAAGTTTTATATTCTTAGACATAATTATATCATTTTAAATATTTTATTAAGACAATTAAAACAAATATAATATTAAATATATAGTAAATTACCTAAACCATAATTTTAACAAAATTAATTTGTACTAAAACATTATGCTTTTTTTTGTTAATTAATTTTATATCATTGATTTTATTTTTATGTATTTATATATTTTGTTAAATAATTATACATAAGTTTTATATTATTAAATGTAAATTATATCATTTCAAATATTTTATTAAGATAATTAAAACAAGACTAATATTACATATATATTAATTAAAATTTAAATTACCTAAATCATAATTTTAACAGAATTAAATTGTACTAAATATTATGTTTTTTGTTAATTATTTTTATATCATTTATTTTATTTTTATGTATTTATATATTTTGTTAAATACTTATACATAAGTTCTATATTATTAAATATAAATTATATCATTCGAAAAATGTTATTAAGAAAATTAAAACAAGACTAATATTGAATATATATTAATTACAAATTAAATTACCTAAACCATAATTTTAACAAAATTAAATTCTACCAAAATATTACTATTTATATTACAAATTATATGTATATATTAAACTAATTAAACTCAAACTAATAACTTTTTAAATTTTGAAAATTAAAATTATTTCAATGTATAATAACATTTGGTGTAAAAGTTAGTGTAATAGGTTGGAGATGAATAAAATTTGGTGTGAGGATATTTCTTCTGATGTGAAATTTGGTGTAGATTTTGTGTATTTTGGGTCAGAGATAGAAGGATAATTTGCATTTCAAAATTTGGATTATAATTAAAGTACTAGCGTTATACCCGTGCGATGCATGGTCTAACATAGTTAGAATTATATTATGAAAACTTGTGCACAACTGTATACAAAGAAATAACAAATTGCAACTAACTATAGTTAACCACAATCAGTGTTGTTTTTAATTTTGAAATTCCGGCAACGTGCCTCTACAGCCCCGTAGACGTTACCTATACAAAAATTGGGGAGAAACCTAGGAAATGTGAATGGCGTGTGGATCAATCCAAAGGTGCAAAATGATGTCAATTTTCCCAATCAAGCATTTCACCATTTTGGACTCAATTTCTAAATATAGTGGAAGACTATATCTACAAATGACTTACTTCACCAAATGGAGAATAAAACTTCATTGATTGGCCTACCAAATACTTCAAAGTCAAGACATAGCATCTTCAAACTTGAATTTAAACTAACTAGAGATTGAATTCAAGCTTAGCATGCAGTATTTCTATTACTTGGAATTGATTGTAAACCACCTCATCTAGTTTTTTCTTCTACTCATTGTTTTACCATATCAGGACTAGAAAACATATAGTTTGAGAGTTTAATAAACACGAATAACTTAATCCTTGTTTGTGTGTAGTCGTTTTCATAATCATTATGTAATTTAACGTTATAATTATGTATGTAAACTGCGTTTTATGATATAATTTAGTTTGCGACCACAATATATGTAGCAGATACTTGCAATAATTTATTGTTTGTGGTTTGATATACTCTAATTCAATAGTTACGTAAGAGTCTATTAGTAATTTAGTATCGATTGATACTATTGATCCCTAAATGCTAAGAGCGCTTTTCGTGCTACTTGTTTCATCAGTTGTTATATTATAGACCGCGGTGCATAATCGATTATGCACCGCGGCCCATATACGGCGCCGTTTCTTTAAGTAAAGAAACGGCCCGCCGTTAGAGTTAACGGAGTCCGTTTGTTTGGTGTATTAAACA